ATGAGATGGAGCAGTGGGTGCTTGACGCTGACTTGTCAGACTAGCACCCACTGCTCCATGGGAAGGGCAGATAGGCCTTGTGCATGCATTCTGCATGTGCCTGTTGCCTGTTTGGTGTGTGCTGTGGACAGAGAAGATGCCTGGTTGCGCCGGAAGGTAGCGCCGGGCTTAGGGACAGGTGTCTCGTCAAACCCTTAACCAACCAACCAACCAACCAGATCTTTTTCCCCCTGGAGTGGCTCCTTTCCCAGGAGGTGCTTCCCCTCGAGGTCAGCAAACGCTTTTACCCAGCGAGGTGCCAAGCACATTCCATGCATTTTGATCTGGTTTCAAGGCTGTCTGTCTGTCGGTGTGCACACAGGCCAGGCCATCCGAGGAGTGTGGAGAGAACCCCAGGAGTAGTACAGTACGGTGTGCTGTCGAGATCTGCACGCAGTGACGCAGCCACAAGACGCTGGGCCTTCTTGATATTGCGACAAGCTTCTGCCTTTGGGTCGGTGTTGACAGCAGAGGGGGGAGGCGGGTGGTCAGACAATCACGGCACAACACCTTTCGTCGTGTCTGTTCAGGTGCAGTCTGTCTGATGCCGGCGCCCGTCCGTCCGTCCGTCCGTCCATCCACCCACCCGCCGTTGTGTGCACTCATCCCACATGAGGCTTGCGCTCACTTGTCTGACTGTGTCGTGTGTTGTGTTGGTTGGATGTGGTGTGTTGTGTTGTGTTGTGTTGTGTTGTTCTCCCTATCTATCCTATCGGCCCGTCTGTCTGTCTGTCAGTTTCACTTGCGGTGTGTGGATGCCTTGCCTTGCGAAGCCGGCATGCTACCCTCGCCCGCGACATCGCGTCGATGTGCCCGGGGAGGCCACACATCGCCTCGCCATGGCTCGATAGAGACGGGCGTGCATGCACTCTGCGGCCGGGAGTGTGGTGAAACTCGGGTACGTCAGTCACGACACATACGATCACAACACAACCACTCAGACAGAGAGGCCAGGCAGAATGGATGGATGGATGGACGGGCGCCGGCGACCGTGGATGGGATGGAGGAGGTAAAGGGGAGCCAAGATCCGGAGGGCTGCAATCAATCGCTGACCGAGGGAGATGCTATCTGATTGATGTAAGCAAGCACCAACCCATCCATCCAGTGAGGAACAGTCAGACATGGTGGGTGGATACTCTCAATCAATCGACCCGTCAGTCAGACCCTTGTGTGTGCGCAGATCATTACGGGCGTCGCGGGGGATGTGTGGCTGCTCACCTGAGTCATCCGATGCACTCACTGATGCTAGCGCTGGGGTACAGAGGCAGCTGGCTGAAGAGGGTGTGGGGCCTCTTGTGGATAGCTTGGGTGGGTGGGTGGGCCGGTGGGGTGTGCACCTGAGCTGCCTCACGCAGACACACATGAAAATGGGCTGGTTGGTGTGTTGCGATGGATGCGTGTGGTGTGTATGCGTGTCCGCGTCTGCCGTGAGTGAGTGGTCGTGATCGATGCATCAACCGATTGAATGCTCACGCTGGGTGGGTGGGGGGGATGTACGACGCATGACAGTCAGGGTGCTGTGTCTGAGTGTACGCCTGTGATGTTATGTGACACAAACGCGCATCTGACTCTTCCGTGGAAGGCCTGCGGGCGTGAAGGACTGTCTGTATGACCATCCACGGCGTGCCGGAAACATGACACAAGCCGCACATGAAAGCACGTAGGATCTGTTAGCCCCTGAGGGCCGATTGTTTCAAAAATTGGGAACCATACCTTTCGGCAGGAACCACCGGAACTGGAGTAGTTTTCAACTAGCAATCAGCGCGCATCCGCAAAGCGTCATATGCCACGCTAACGCCCCAGCGCAGGGATACCACTTAGGGTGGCAGAGAAGGCCGGTAGACACAGATCTGCAGTCGGTGATGGCTGACCGATGTGATTGTCTCAGTTCGTGTCTCGTCGATGGCTGCAGATCTCGACTGTCAGCCATTACGACACACACAGTGGATGCATGGATGGCCAGCCATATGCTCAGATCAGCAAGATCTCTGCCTGAAAAGGCGGCGCCAGATAAGGTCGATCCCATCAGCCATCATCGACTGCAGATCTGTGTGGGCCTCCCCTTCTCCCTGCCCTATCAGCCATCGCGGTGTTCCGCTCATTCGCATCATTCTTTCGCCTTTTACTAAAGAATGCCGTGCGTGGGATACAGTTAACGCGTCTGACGCAATTTTTGCAGCCTCCTGCGCCCTTGGGCGTAACAAAGTAGTGCGAAATCGTGACGAGCGAGGGTGCTGCGTCGCTCCATGATGTGCATGGATTCATTCACAGAACCACGCTGTTCACTTCGATTGTCTGGCGAGACTCACGGTGGCGCCTTGCTCACTTTGGATCTGGCAGTAGATCTGAGGCTTTCGTTGCCGGCTGCGCGAACGCAAGGCAGCACCTGCCAGATCTACGGCGATAGACGCCGTATTCTCGGGGCGCCAATGCACAGCATGCTACGACTCCCGCATCCGCCCCCGATGAAGACGGCAAGCACATCAAGCACACGAACTTTCGTTGCCGGCTGCGCGAACGCAAGCCAGCTCTGCCAGAAATTCCGCTGTTGGCAGGAGCATAGCCCCCCCATGCCGCTTCACGTACCCCCGAATGCAATGGAAGCTCCACGACAGCACAGGGACCTTCTTGAGCGCCCCCGAGGCCCAGCCAGGTAAGTTTAAACAGAGAGTGTGAGCACGGGCCAGGCAGTAATAGATCTGCAGTCGGTGATGGCTGACAGGATCGTCTCAGTTTGTGTCTCATCGATGGCTGCAGATCTCGGCTTCCTGCCATCACGACAGACACTATGGATGTATGGCTGCCCTGCGGTGTGCTCAGATCAGCGAGATCTCCGCCAGAGAGAAAGGAGGAAGGACGGATCAAGCTCGCAATGACGGCGCATGAGGCGTTTGCCGAGTTCATCCGGCTATTCATCGCTGCTTGGCGTTGCATGTCCTCAAACTCGTCACCCTTCGCCAGCTGGTGGCCCCCTCCATCAGCTCTGTGCCTGTCCTTTGGCCTTCATATCATGCCTTCGAGTCGCGGCAGAGGAGCTATCGGCCTTCGAACGGCGGCCAATATACCGACATCGAAATGAATTCGCCACGGGATGAGCACGTTCACATGTGTATGAGCGCCGGTATTCCTCCCTCCTGTGCTCGTGCAGGCTGTTGTATCTTTTGTGTGGCCCTCTGCTGCCCCCCGCGCAGTGCGGCACCCTCATCGGCTGACGCGGCGAGAAGCCAGGCGGACAGGCAGAGACACACACACACACACACACACACACGTGTCACGACACGCGATATCAGTTGTCCATCTCTCTGTCTGTCTGTCCGTCCGTCTGATGTGTCTGGCTGATTCAGGCCGGCCGAGTGTGTGATTCAGCCACGGTCTCAGACAGCTGCCTGGCTGTCCGCCGGGGACGCAGCAGCGCTGCAGACTTCTCATAGATGGTCGCTGAACACGACACAGCTGCACAGCTGCATTCATGGACGGCCAGAGAATCGGCGTCATCATCTCGCTCGTCTCGTGGGCTCTCTCTCTCTCTCTCTCTGTGTGTGTGTGTGTGTGCGTCTGTGTCAGTGTGCGTGTGGGGGGTTGGCGGCTCCTCGGCTTCTCACTCACACGTGCGACCAGCCGTGGTGGCCCTCCTGCTGCAGGACTTATCTCGTGCAGGACAATCAGCTGGGGCTGTGCTGTATGGATGTGGATGGATGGATGGGCGGGCGAGTGGATGGGTGGGTTCCGGGATGCACGTAGCGTATGGACTGTGTCCGTCCGTCCTCTCCTGCCTGTGCCTATGCGGCTGTGCTGTGTGGGACGTGGTGGATGTGTGTCGTGCACGATGAATGAAATGAGTGGCGCCTTCGGGCGTGAGAGTCAATTCACAGACGAGGAGCATTGTACCGCTCCCTGGTGCCTTCATGATCGAATGGATGAATGGTCCATTTCTTCTCTGCCTGCCTGACTCATATCCTCTCTGCCCGCCTGGTTGGTGTGTTGTGTGACTAAGTGTGCGTGTGTGTGTGTGTGGTGTGATGTGGTGTGACACACAGGGAGGAATGTGAGGTGAGGACTGTGTGTTGCGAGCGCATCAATTGCGTGTGGATGGGAGCGATTTGCTGCCAGCTGCGGTGCATATGACGAGTCCATCATCCCTGACTGCGCGAACGCAAGTCAGCAATACATGGCATAAGCGGCACACACACATGAAGACCTTGTCACCAGCTGCGCGAACGCAAACCGGCTGTCATGTGCAGCCAGAGGGCTACGCAATCAGTCAGACAGGAGCAATGGTTAGACCCGAAGGCCCAGAAGAGGGTGTGCCACACTCACCGTCGAGTGTAAGAGCGAGGCGACACGCGAGAGGGCGACAGGCAAGCCTGAACAACCGCTCTCCCCGGAGAAAGAATTCTTGTGACAATTCATGGTTCAATGAACCAATATCAGCTGTCACACTGATAAGAACAGTTACTACACTTGATCTTAGCCAAAAGGCCGAGAAGGTATGTTTATTACAGATCTGACGGGGGGGTAGCCGACACAGATCTGCAGTCGGTGATGGCTGACAGGATTGTCTCAGTTTGTGTCTCATCGATGGCTGCAGATCTCGGCTTCCTGCCATCACGACAGTCACTATGGAGGCGTAATGCCCTGCGGTGTGCTTAATCAACCAAGTCTCCTCAGGAAAAGGAGGAAGGCAAGATCAAGCTCGCAATGAGATGCGTTCGACTGAGATATGTGGGCATCTGCTCCCCCCGGCATTTCCTGCGCTCGAGCTCCAGTGCTTGCATCCATTCATCGCTGACTGCTATGGGAGGCGTTTGATGTCCTCAAATTCATCTGAAGTCAAAGCGGGCCTTCTTCGCGAGATCCGCCTTCTGTCCGGGAAGGAAGGATGAGTCATGGCCTGAGCGTCGAGGATATCATCAACCAGGAGATATCTGACGATGAAGAGGAGGAGCCAACGTCAACAAGTGCAGCGGCGGACAGCTCTGCCAAGCAGGTCAAGGGCATCACAGTGGAGGAGATCCTCGCGGCCGAGCTCGACGATGACATCGAATTCGCCGTCCCAAAGTCAGCCAGCGCACACACAAAAGCATAAGAAATATACCATAAAGCAGATGCCTGCACGTGTTTGCTGCGCCTTCTCTCTCGCACACACAGGCCTTCATCGACTGCCGTCCCGTCGGCTGCGCCGGCTGTAGCCACATCCCTCTCCCCCGTCCCGCCCAGCGCATCTCCCGACGCTCATCCAATGCTGGAGGGAGAACCGCCGCCTGGTGATGCAGAGGCCACAGCTGGCGACACCACACAGCAGCAGCAGGCCGAGCCAAGCGAAGAGGAGAGGTTCCGTGTGGCGCCCTTCGAGTGGTGTGAGGCCCATGAGCGGTCTCAGCTGGCGGTGCTGCCCGGCGAGGTGACACTCGCGACGCCTCTGCAGGAGCTCATCAGTTCGAGGCCCTTCAGGCGGCCGCCAGAGTCGCGAGAGAGCGAGACTCTGCCCCACGGCTCGCGGCAGGACGTGCCAGAGGTCGGCGGCCATCATCTCGTCACGACCACATCACTGGACGACATGAGCCGGCGGATATCGCAGGAGGGCGGCATGCCCACGTGCATCGCCATCGGCAGCCACTACATCGTCTGCGGCACCACCAGAGGATTCTGTCTGCTCTTCGACGCGGCATGCGAGTTCGTCGCCTCCCTCCCGCCACCGGCAGAGAGCCTCGGCGGGGCGACGGCCGTCTGCCTGTCGTCGACCACGGCGAGCGACGGAGGCCCGGCAGGTCCGCACACGCCCTCTGTAGCCATCTTGGCGGGACATAAGAGCGGTCAGCTGGTGCTTTGGGAGATCCCCCAGGGCGGCAGCGTGGCCAAGTGTCAGTGTGTGGTGCGGGACGTCCATGCTTCCCCCGTGGTGGCCGTGAGCTTCTGGAAGGGGCGCCACCAGGCCCTCTCGTCCGACGCCATCGGCAACGTGTCCCTGCTCACCTTCTCGCGGGTTTTCCTGGCCGTCTCCTGTGAGAAGCAGCTGCTGCTGGGAGCAAGCCCCGCCCTCGGGCTCATCCTTGACTTCGCTCCGATGCCGCCAGGATCGTCGGAGTCGGCCCATCCAGCTGATGCGGCCAGTCTGGTCACCCTGACGGCCACCTACTCGGTGATAGCGGTGTCTTTGCACCCGTCAGTGTCGCTGCTGCACAAGATGCAGTTCCACCGGGACCCTTCGTCGATAGAGAGCTTGCCGTCGGCGTGTTGGCTGCGGCCACAGCTGGGGTGTGAGGATGACGGGCATGATGTGGGTAGGGGATGCGAGAAGGCGTCACACATCGGGGGGTGGCAGAGGAGGGAGGAGGACCCGGGCATTGCATCTGACCCCATCCAAGTGGTGTGTGAGAATACAATACGGGGAAAGGAATGGTGGATCGATCGTCACTGCCTGCCCTGTCTACCTGTGTGTCTGTCTGTCTGTCTGTCTGTGCACACACAACACACCACAGGTGTCGTTTGGTAGTTTTGTGCATTTGGTTCGCGTGTTGTTCAACCCCGCCCTGCATGCCCACAGCCAGACGGCTGCGCTGCCCGCATGCCCACACCCTCTGGAATTCCAAACCATCGCAAAAATCGAAGTCGAGGGCGGCATTCAGGTGGGGTGTGTCACGAATGCGCATTGCATTCTTCGTCGGTGTGTGCAAACATATGTCCGTGTGTGGTGTGCACTGCAGGTGGTGCGTGCTTTGGGCAGCTCTGTGCTGGCGGTGTTCGACCACCGCGCGAATCTGTCGATAATCCAGCTGCTGCCATCCGACCCGCCCCCTCTCTCCCCCTCCCCCGCCCTCCCCTCCCCCACAGAACCCCCCAGATCCCGCATCCTCAAGTCGCTCGTATTCCGCACATCCACACACCACCTGTCCGTCGTCTACCACACCAATGTCGTGCCCACACCCACCACATCAGCAGATGGAGAGGAAGCGGGCCCGTCGAGGGCTCGGACGGTTGTCAGCTACCACCATTCGTGGGGCGTCTGCCTGCACACGAGGCGGGTTGTGGTGCTGGGGCTGCAGGGCGTGTGCTGCCTCTCGGTGAGGGGGTGGAGCGACGTCATCGGCGAGATGGTCGAGAGTAGCCAGTGGGAGGAGGCACTGGCCGTCCTATTGGCTCTCTATCAAGACGGCGCACCGCCGCTGCTCGATGTGCCCCTCGATGGGGCGCAGAGGCGGAGTGCGCTCGTAACGGTGGCGACGCAGCTGATCCAGAGCTACCTCGCCACCAACCTGCCGAGCCCACAAAGACCCCTCTCGCCCCTGCAGAAGAAGCCAAAACCCCCTCCCCCTCCCCCGCCGCCGCCCCCACCACCGCCCCCACCACCGCCCCATCCGTCAGCCACAGGACGACCACACGAGCTGCAGACAGGTGTGTCCCCCTCCCCCTCCCCGTCCCCCGCCCGCATCGAGCGCATCTGTGCGTGTGTGACCGAGTGCGCCGTCAAGATGGAGCTGTGGGACCTCCTGTACAGACTGACGTTCGACCTGTTCAAGGCCGCTGGACACCTGGACACCTTCCTGGCCACCCTACAGCCATACATCCTGCTGGAGGCCGTGCCGGCCTCTGTGGATGCAGAGGTGCTGTGCGCCATGGTGGCCTACTTTGCCGACAGGCTGGAGGGGCCCAAGAGGGGCGGGGGTGAGGATGTCGGTGGGGATAAGACGGCAAGGAGACGCTTCCAGCAGCTGCTGCTCAAGACGGATGTGACGCGGCTGGACCTGAATCAAGTCATCAGGTGAGTGTAGAGTGAGTGACATGGGTCAAGGCAGGCCCGCAGAGTGAGTCGGTGAGGGGCTATCTATGAGTCATCCGATGTGTGTGTTGTGTTATATATTGTGTCTGTCAGGTTGTGTAGCTCTCAGCATCTGTGGAGCACCCTCGCCTACATCTACACCACGGCCCTGCAGGACTTCGTCGCTCCCGTCGAGGTGCTCATGGGCGAGTGCATCAAGCTGCAACAGCAGCACACGCAGACCTCTCCCGACCACACCACTAATGGCGAAACACCCGCACCCACACAGGCCACCACCGACCTCTCGCATGAGCCCCTGGTGCGCAAGCTCTTCTACTACTTCCACTGTCTGTTCGAGGGCCAGCCCTTCCCCCTCCCTTCGGGAGCGGCATGCGTCACTGCCCCGCCACCCAAGGCTATCGCCGAGATTCTCCGGCACATATTCCGCCAGAAACGGAGCGACACCGCGCCCGCGGTGTTCGAGTCGCTGCTGCAGCTGTCGCCAACCCTGCTATTCCGCAGCCTGGCGTCCCTCTTCACCAGCGACTTCTCGCGAATGGCCATCAAGGAGGTGGCCAAGACCGGTGGGAGTGCGTCGGCGGCACCCGGCCCGATGGTGCTCAGCTGGATAGAGGAGGCCGTCAAGCTGTGCCTCGAGAGTTATGACGACGGCGACACCCGACGTATGGTCGAGGAGGAGCTCGTCTGGCTGACGGCGCGTGCAGCGGTCGAGGGCGACGACGTGCTGCTGGAGCCAAAGCGACTGGAAGGTGTGGTGTCGTTCCTCCTCTCCAAAGCGGCCCACCTGGATAGCGAGGCGCTGCTGCTGGCCCTGCTGGAAAGGGAGGGCCGCAACGGCCGCGGCCCCCTGGCCCCGTCACGCATCGAGTCAGCCACCAATGTTCTAGTGGAGCAGGCGCATGCCGTGGGCTTCATGCGGGTGGCCTCGCGCGTACATGAGCAGCGGCACGAGTACCCCAAGCTCCTCGACTGCTATCTGCGGGACCGGCAGCTGCAGACCGAGATCTTTGACTTCGTCCGCTCACGGCTGGAGAAAGTGCCCGACGGTTTCGACCTGGCGGCCTTCGTCAAGGCGACGCTCGAGCGGCTGCCGTCACTCGTCAAGGTCGACTGCGACGAGTGCGCGGCCCTTGTGTGTCACATCTTCAGCTCACCGGCAACGTGGGTACAGGCGGCCGGTGCGAAAGGGGATATGGTGAACGGGGCGACGGAGAAGGGCGGCATGCGTGTCACCGTGCTGCCGGAGCAGGTGCTCACGGCCCTGGACCCCTACCCAGAGCTGCAGCTGCGTTTTCTCAAGACGCTGCTGACACGGGGGGCGTGCTGGAAGCACAGGGACGACCAGCGGCGGTTCTTTGAGTTGTATGTGGTGCGCCTGGTGGAGCTCATGTGCCGGCATGAGGCGGGAGGCGTCGTGGGGTTTCTGCGCGAGTATGAGCACCAGATACCCATCGGCGACTGCCTGGCCCTTTGTCAGAAGTACCAGGTGGTGGATGCGTCGGCCTACCTGATGGAAAGGACGGGCGACTTCCAGGTATGTGGGCAACAGCACAGCACAGCACCCTTCCCTTGCGTGAGCGTCTCGTCCATGTGTGTTGTCTTGTACATCCATCTATCTGTCTGTATGTCAGGGAGTGGTCACTCTGCTGAAAGCCGCCTTCACGTCTCGGCTGGGCGCCATGCAGCGCGTCTTTCTGGACCCCTCAGCCAACATCACCAAGTACCTCCGACGACTCATCCCCAAACACCACCACCACACCACCCCGGCAACACAGGCGTCCCAGGCAGCCTCCTCTCATGCGCAAGGCGGTCCCTCCCACTGGTGGGACGGCTTCCGCGAGGTGACGGAGACGTTCGGTCTGCTGCACCAGGCCATCGACCTCTGCCAGCGCAACTACCAGCTCATGACGAGCGAGCAGCTCGAGGACCTGTGGTTCGGCTTCCTGGCGGAGGTCGTGCGGGTGCAGGAGAGCGTCCCGCGTGGATGGAGCCCCTCCACCGCCGTCGGCAGCTCCCTGCGGCTCACGGGGCTCAACCGGTCGCTGGCCGAGATCGTCTCGGAGATCCTCACCGGCGGGCTGACCACCTTCCTGTCTCTCCCCGTCACGCTCAAGCGCATCACCAGACAGCATGCGGCCAGCGAGGTGGGCGTATTCAAGCAACCTTTGGTGCAGATGCTGACGGGCCTCGCCTTCCAGGAGGCCCTGCTGACCACCTCTGCCCGGCTGGCCGCCCGCGACCTGTTCGCCAGCTTCCAGCAGGTGACCAAGCAGCGCAAGAGGCCCGCAGTCGTGACACGCACCTACTGCGAGAGCTGCAGCCTGCCACTCGAGTGCCCGCCGGTCAGCGCCCGCCAACACGGGCCTGGTGATGGTGGGGACAGTGAGCGTGTGCAGGAGAGGGATGGGCGTGTGGCGGTGCTGGCGTGCGGGAAGGCGTACCACGTGGCGTGTCTGGAGTCACAGAGTGACGGGGGAGGCAAGAGGGATCCTGGCTGGCGTGTGGTGGATAGGACGGGGAAAGGCGACACTGATGCGCTTAGCCCGATCAAACACTGATGGAGGATTAAGGCTCGATAGCTGACAGACAGGGTAGCTAGAGACAATGACGTGCAGATTTATGTGTGGTATGCGATTGGTTAGTCCTACACGAAGACAATCTGAGACGGCCAGGAAACCCTTTCGCCCCCAGACGACATCCATTTCATTCCTGCGGGCTGCCAGGGAGTCCACAGTATATCTTCACTCCCGTCGGCCAAGTCCCCCAAAAGTCGCCAGGCATCCATCTCCCAGACGCCCTTCTCCTTTGCATACTGGTTGCATACATACACAAAGAGCAGCGACACTAGCTGTAAGGAAAGGATCAAGTAAAGGAAGGAGACAAAATGAAGGAAGCCCTGCATGCTGTTGGTGTGCAGAGGTAGCCATCAATCGACTGATTGAGAGTTCCCCCATTGCAGTATGAGCAACCAGCCCATCAACGTGGGCCCTCAGCAGGCGGTGTATGGCGCCGTGGAGCCGCCCCCGGGCAGCCCCGAGAGAGATGCCATGTGGTGAGTCAATAGGCGAAACTCCTTAGCCATGCATCATGATACACACAGGAGGAAAGCCCCCATATCGGTGCTTTGCTTTTCTCCCCAGGAGCGCGCGCTGGTCTGACGGCATTTGCGGGCGAGTCGTCTCACTCACTTAGAGACAGACAGACAGACAGACAGTGTCACAATGCATGCTTGACGTCATCTGTCTGTTGCTATCTGCGGTCTGCGACGCTTTGCAGCTGCTTCAGCGACTGTTTCTCCTGCATCTTGGGCTGCTGCGGCCTGGGATGCATCAACAAGGCAAGCTGTCGACACAACCACTCACTCACTCACTCACCCATCCGTCCATCCATCCATCCATCCATTCACCCACTCGTGTGTGTGACACTGTGTGTGTGTATGTGTGTGTGTGTGCGAACAGGCGCAGGCCGTGGAGCGGGTGAAGATCATGGGCCTTTGGCCGGCCATAATACTGTTCGGCAGCCTGTCGATCCTGCTCCCCCTGATCCTCACCGGCGTCATGGAAATCAGGTTCACCTCCAAGTACCCCCACCTCTCCAGTGTCGGTAGCTTCGGCACGAATGCGAAGTGTTACGAAGCCATTAAAATGCTCGGACTAGTAAGCAGGCTAGAACTGGGAAGGGGAGAGGGGGACTGCCTGCGTGCCTCTGCCTGCCTGCCTGCCTGTCTCCATGCCTGCATGCCTGCCTGCGCGCATTCTTGGCTGCATGGGTCCCCACTTGTGTGGTTTGTGTGTTCTGTCTGTTTGTTCAGGGAGACCCTTTCAAAAAGTACCTGTCCTACGAAACCCGTCGGCGGCTTGGCTGGGAGGAGAAGCCCATCATTCGTCCCTTCGTGTTTCCTAAGATACCAGAGGACGTCAGTAGAGGGAAGACGGAGACACACATTCACACTCACACAGACAGACAGACAGACAGAGACAGACATCCATATCAACAGCATCCATCCATCCATCCATCGCTTCTTCTCTCCTTGTGCGTGGCGTGCATACGATATATCTGTGTGTGTCTTTATGTTATGTATCTGTGCAGCTTCCGGCCGAGGGTGTGGCACTGATCTACCTGGAGTACGAGCAGTTCGAGAAGGACAGCGTGCTCCTGTACGTGGACAGCGTGTCTGGCCTCATCAGGCTCGTATACATCGTGGTGCTGGTCATCTACCGCATGAAAATCCGCCGACACTACCGCATCCCGCCCACAGACTGCTGCGAAGACTGCCTACTCGTCTGCTGCTGCGCGCCATGCACGTACGTCTGTTGGCTGGAGAGGGAGGGAGGGAGGGAGGGAGGGACAGATGCATGGCATGCAGCAGCTGATAGGCCACCCAATACGCTTTTCCCGATGTCTCTCTCTGTCAGCATTTGCCAGGAGTACCGACACGTCAGCCGCGCCATGGGTAAGTAAGGAGAACACGACAAGACAAGACACGACACAAGACGGCACAGCACAGCACAGAACGACCATTCGTGAAGATACATCGCTGGGATTCTCACTCAGGCTACAAGCTTGACATGCCGCCCATCGTGAGCGCAACAAGGAGGGGATGAAGGGAAGGGTGGGGGGAGGGGTCCGCCCAGAAGTCATGTGTCTCTCCCTGTCATGCAGAACCCATCGGCAGCTGCACCCATCCCTGCGGGCGCCCTCTACGTCCAGACCGTCCAGGTGGCCGCGCCGGCCGCGGTGCCCCAGGGCAGCACTGCTGCTGACACCGTATGAATCAACTAACCAAGCAAGTCGAGACACGCACGCACAGTTGGACCGCAGAGGGCGAGAAGGAGAACGAACGACTGAATGAGCGAGTCCTACTAAGATCGACAGATGGATGGATGGATGGATGAGTGGATGGATGAGTGGATGACTGCGGTGATGGTTGAGTGAGTGAGGCTGCGACGTGGTTCAATCCGGCTGGCTGGCTGGCTGGCTGGCTGCCCGCGACAATTGATTGCATTGAGTGGCTGAGTGGATCGACTGAGAGGGAGCACCTAATCAACGAGACGATTGACGGTTGATACATAGATCGATTGGTACGCTCGGTTGGTGGGTGCTAGTCAGCGCACCTGCACTTTCGTTCTCTGCAGTAATTCGGCCCTTCATAGGGAGGTCAAGGCAAGGTCAACGAGACCAAAAAATGTGTCTGTCTGGTTGGTTCTTCATGAACTGAATGAAGCATGCAGCCCAGCCCGTGGCACTGACAAGCACGTCACCCAACCCAACCTGTTGGTGCATTCATTGCAATGAATCAAGCCATCGACTGACTGGCAGCCCTACGACATGCCCATGGACTCGAGGAATTCCCGGGCCGACATTCCCTTGGCGGCCTCCTCAAGCTCGGCAAACGATCGCGGCCGACGACCCAGACCACCACCGCCACTGCGAGTGCCGATACTCACAGCAGGATCGGCTGGAGCAGGTGCTGCTGCTGCGGCGGCTGATGGTTCTGATGGTTCCGATGGCGGTTGGGCTCCGCCTGCCGGTTGGCCGCCACCCGATCGACGGCCACCGACGGCCGCTTGAGGGTGAGGCTCCTCCATATCCCACATTTCCCAACACAACTCGTTAACCAGGTCCTGACACACATGTCATATGGATTCGATTCATGCATTGGTGTCAGTCAGGAGAGTGAGAGTGGGAGTGAAGTGACTGACTTACATCCCATATTTCGTTGGCAACGAAATCCTTTAGTGCGGTGGCCTCAATGTCGCGGTACTCGTACCACACGTCCTTGTCTGACGGAAGGAGGAGGATACACCAACAGAGAGACAGAGACAGCGGAGCCATGGTGTGTGTTGGATGGCCATGATGAGTGCATGGTCGATATGACTGACTGACTTACAGTCGCTGGTCTGATCCTCTCTGAACGGCCGCATCTCCAGCGGAGGCTCAGTGGTGCGGCCCATCATGCTGGCTTCATATCGCCCCGCCTCATCTGCAGACACAGCCACACACGCACACCACCGACGAGGGAAGAGAGAGAGAGAGAGAGAGAGAGAGAAGTGAGGCGCCAAATGCGGTGTGCTGTGCTGTGCAGTGGCTGGCTGACTGGCTAGTCTGCCCACCTTGTCCCATTGCGGCCGCCTCTATTCGGTGTTGGTCGTCGCCCGGCTTGATGCAGGATATCAACTACACGCACGCAGATGATATATATCGATAGGGACACCGAACGACACGGATGGATGGATGAGTGCTTTCTTCTCTTCGTGTTTCTCCACTGCCTTGCCTTGCCCCCGACATATGCTCACCCACCTCTTCCTTGATGTGGTTCCATTTCTTGTTGAATGGGCGAGTGGGGTGGTTGGTGATCTCTCTTCGATACTGAGCCAACCAGACAGACAAAGGCACCGCACCCAGATGAATGAATGCTCATTCCCGAATGTGAAGATGTGATGTCTGCACCTACCTGGTTGATGAGTGCCTCCGTGAGCGAGAGCACCAGGTTGATGAAGGGCTTGTCCACCGCCAGGACGGGCAGCACCTGCTCGCTCTTGGTCGGATTCACATTCGCCTCAGCGGCAGCACGGACCATCGCCGAGCTCTCAACCCCCTCGTCCTCCTCATCGCCATACTCGTCATAGTCGTGCAGCAGACGCCGGCCCCCACGACCCCTCTTCTCGTAAGCTGGCGCGTTGAGCTGCTTCCGCGCGATGTCATCCCACTCAGGGGACAGACGGCCGCACCATGCGGGAGAGAGCTCGGACTGGCCTGCGCCCGGCCCTTGCCTGGACTTGCGCTCGCCGATTTCCTGGAGGCGCCTGCGGGAACTGACGAGGTGGTTGACGAGGCCCTTCCAGTTGATGCGGAGACAGGCGGGGAGGGGCGGGGCCGATGGCGACTGAGACATCACATAGCGGTGAGAGAAATCCGCCGTCAGGGGGGCGATCTGATCAGCCACAGCACAAGACCAGAGACACTCGAGAGTGAGGTCTTGATTCATGTGTGCGTTGCGTGTTTTGGCCGGAGCATCTAACCTCACTGATTCCGAAGGTTTCCAGCACGAAGTCGAACACGCCTGCCGCCATATTGGCGGTGCATTGGATAGGCAAACGATGCCACTGACACACACACAGACGACATCATAGCCACAGATGGGAAGGCTCACGTGGCCACCCGCGAGATCGATGCCGTCAGTGGGGTGGTTGCGTACCGTTCCCTGGTGGTTGAGGTGTGCCTCCCGGACGGCAGCCACGACGCAGCGATTGATCTCCCGGTCGATCAGGTCATACGCCACCAATGCCATGTCATCAACCCAGTCAGGACCATCCTCCTGACACACACACAAACACACTCATCCATCCATCCACTGGACACCGTGGGCGGTGTTCGTTCCTGTGTCACCTCCCACCCCCACTGACCAGGTTGGCGTCTCTGATTTGTGGGTAGAACATGTCCAAAGCCTCGTTCTGCCTCGTGAGTCGCTCGTCCTCCTGCACCTGGACCGCTGGCCGCGGTATGGCCGGTCGTGGTGTGTCCAGCCCCATGAGCTCGGCCCCCAAGCCGCCACCCTCCTCCCTGTTCTCACGCTCCCAGTCCTCCATCCACTCGTCACGGTCACGCAGATTGACGTCATGGTCGGGGGCGGGCGTGCCTGCAATACACCATACACAGACACACACAGAGCAGCGTATGTGTTTGCAGCACGAGAGTGCCATGTGCTGGTGGAGTTACCTGGTCGTCCGATGGAGAGGGCGTACTCGACACGTCTCTCGGGTGTGTCCACCTCATCCGGCCTCGCTGTGGGGAGAGTCGGCGCCTGCATAAACGTGACGGAAACACACAGCGAGAAATTCATTGACGCATTTGTGACGTCAGCATTCTTCCATTCTGACCTCCGAGTCGACGACTGTGTCTGCGTGATGCTCCTCCTGCCCGGGTCGGTCCTCACCCTCGCCCTCCTCCGCTTCCACGTGGATGTCCTCCTCTATCTCTTCCGGGGGCGGAGCCTCCCGCTGGACCACTGAAGGGGCCTCTGCCTCTGGGGCGGCTTGCTCGGCCTAAACAGAGAAAAACAGCCACGGTCAAACACCATCACAGTCACCCTTCACAAGGACACATACACAGCCTCTTCTAGGCCCGCTCACCCGTGCTGGCATTTCCGACTCTCTCTGGTCTTCTTGTTCGGCCGCCGGTGGCTCCTCCACATTCACGTCCTCCGGCCGCACCACTTGCTCACCGGCACGGGCCTCCGCTGTATCAGCCTCCAACTCAGCAGGCGCACGACGAGGCACCCCACGGGCAACGGGAGACGCCTATCGATCCAACATAGACAAAGACAAATAGACGCGTGTGGCGTGGAAGGCGCAGATGTACCCACCTACCTCGTCAGGCTCGAATTCCTCCATTTCTTCCATCTCTCTCTCGTGCAGGGCCGCCGTATTCGCCGGTGGCTCGGGGGCCGTCGGCTCAGGCTGGGGGAGGGTGATGTCACCGTGCCTCGGTGGGCCCTCATCGGTCACGTCACCGGCCGGTAGAGCATCACTGCTGGGGCCCTCGGCCTCGTCGTCAGCATCCTGCACAAACGCAGACACAAGCCAGTACACAACGTGTGTGTGACCCAAGTAGGTCGGTGCATTCATTCATGAGTCGGGGTGCTTCGCACCCCTGATGCCTACCTCCCCAGACGGCAGCTCTTCAGGAATCGACTCGGGTATCTCGCTCTCCTGCCGCTCGACGCCCCGTCCCTCACCCTCCGATGCGAAGCTCGATGAGTAGTCCTCACTGGGCTTCTTGGGCAGCACCAGGTGCGGCGCCACGGGCAGCGGCCTCTCCACCACATGCTGGGGCTGGCCAGATGCGGCGGCAGAAGCTGCTGCCGGCGCCTCTCCCTCTTGACCTTCCTCCTCCTTGTCGTCTCCCCTGGTGAGGATGGCTTCTTCCTCCTGCATCCGCCGCCACTCGTCAGCGTGTCGGTCGTCAGACGATGCCTCGTCGATCTGAATGTCCTCGCTGATCTCATCACCACGGTCCTCCTGCCGGTCGGGGGCCTGGGAAGGTGACTCCTCCTCGAAGCGCATCGAGTAGGGACCCTCCGACGGCTCGGCGAATGACGGTGTGCGGCCAGCCGCCTGAGCAGCAGCTGCTGCTGTGGAAGAGATGATGGGCTCAGGTGGGGCAGCTTCGTGTGCGACCTGCTGCTGTTGCCGCTTGACCTCCTCCAACTCATGCTCTAGCCGCAGCCTCTTGGCCGTGAGGGCCTCTCCGCCTCCCTCAGCACCACCCTCCTGCCGCGAGCGGCCGGACAGTGGGGGGCTCTCGGGGTGTCGGGGCCGCTCGCGTCGCTTGTGGCGTCGCTCCATGGCCATGAGGTGCTCCTTGCGAGTGGTCTTGCGCATGCGGATTCGCAGACAGTGCGACTCGTAGTCCTGAAGACATCTGTCCTCGTACAGCTGCAGCCGCTCCAGCTCGGCGTCGAGGTAGTCGTCGGTTGACGCGCCGCTCTCGCGCATCTGCTGGGCCTTGACCTCCGCCACCTTGTCGTGCAGCCGGCGCATCTTCCGCTCGTGTCGCTGCCGGTGGTAGTTGAGCTGCTCGTCCAGGTACTGCTCCTCGAAATACACCTTCTGCCGGTACTTCTGTATGAGGGCAGAGGAGTCGACGTCGTCACCGCCCAGGCTCATGCCGCTGGGGGAGCTGTGCCCGCTGCTGGGCCGGCTGACGTCGCCTCTGCGCCGTCTGTGGTGTCGTGGTGAGGGCGAGGAGGGGCGGAAGTACATTGGGTCGTGGGGGAAGGAGCCCCGGTCGGATGTGTCGGAGAACCGGGGGGAGCTCGACAGAGACGAGTAGTCCTGGTGGCGAGAGAAAGGGTGATGGGGGAGCGGGAGGGAGGGGGGGATGGCCTGATTGATGCACGAACCACCCGACACACAGCACAAGGGTCAAGACGGTCGGCTCGTAAGCACTGTGCGACTTCATTTACCGTGTCTCCTTCCCGTCTGGTATCCCTCTCCACCCTGCGATCACGGTCGGCCCTCTCTCTGTCGGCAGCTGCAGCAGGGGCGGTCTGTGGGGGCTGTGCCGCCATCTCTTGCGCTCGCAGCAGGTCCTCCTCGTATCGAGCTTGCTGACGAGCTACACACGCAAACACACAGGAGGCAAGGGGTCAGTCAGTCAGGCAGGCAGGCAGGGATGTGTGTAAGATGGGGCTGCCCACAAGTGTTTTCATTGCAGTCAGTGCTGGGTTAGGTCACCTTCTTGGTGCTGTGCATGGATGGCTGCCTCGGTCAAAGCAGCCATGTGCTGCTGGAGGCGGCCCAAGTCGTCAGCCCTCTGAGTGGCCTCTTGGACAGTCTCCAACTGAGCCATCTGATCCAACCCAACACACAACAGCCAGCCAAGGGAGCATGGACGCACGAGTAGTAAGCACCATTTTCCCGCATGCATCTTTCTTTCTTGCTCACCGCGTTGTTGAACTGTGCTGTCATCTCTTCAGGCGACTGTGAGAGTGCTTCCCCCGCCTCCATAGACTCCTCCAGAGGACTGCCCCCCTTCTGCACACCCACCTCAACCCTCCCACCACCATCAACCTCCAGTCCGTGCTCCATCTCACCATCGCCCTCCCTCCGCCAGGCCGACTCATCCCCCTCCGATGACGCCACGGCGCCATCAGACCGGCCCGTGTAGGCCGACACCTCACCAGACACCGCAGCAGCTGCGTTGAACCGGGGGTGGTCGTCCCACCCATCCCTCAGCCCGAGGGCCGACTCCGGCCGAGCAACGCTCAGTGCGTGGCGGGCCTCCTCGGACAGATCGTCCCCTCTGCTGGTGCGCCGGTGCTGTGAGATGGGCGAGAGGGCGCCACTCGTGCCTTCCGTTGCCTCGATGCTCGTGGTGCTGGCCGCGGGAGGGACACTACTGGCGGCGACAAGAGGCGCAGTCTCACGATCGACCGTTCTGTCCACCGCTGCGGCAGCTGCTGGGGGGGCGGTGGGCCGTTGTCGGGCAGGGTCATGCAGGAGCGCCTCCACGACAGGCACGTCGTATGGCCCACCTGTCCGTGGCACGACTGGCGGAATGACGGCTGCTGGCGTCTCCTGAAAGCTCTCAATCGATGCTGCGCCGCCGAGCGGACGGGCCCGGTCTCGCGCACCGCCGAGCCCCAGATCAGGGCGGTCGAATGGTGGCGTGCCCCTGAGCATCTGCGGCCCCCAAAGTCGGCTCATCTCCTCCATGTCCCTCAGCGACTCCTGGACCATCCCACGCGTGCTGTCATCCTCGCCAATGCGGGTGCTGGTGTCGTTGGTCCGTCGTCGGTCGCTCGCCACCCGTCGGAGGCCGCCCTCGCCCCACCCAGGGATACGCGGCACAGGTGTGGCCATCTTGGCGGCCAGGGGCGCCGCCTTGGATCGATGGTCGATGGCGTCTTCCGTCTGGCGGTGGGCGACCTCCTCTTCCTCGAAGTCGAGCTCGTCTTGGTCGTCGATTGACCTTGACACGGTGTGGGAGACGCTGGTGTCAATCGGCAGATGGATGGCGGGGAGGCTCGTGCCGTGAGAGTGGGGCGGGGGCGGGCCATGGAGGGGTGGCGGGAGCCTAGAGGGCTGTGAGCGGGTGAGGGGGGCGGCGAGCTGGTGGTCTAGGAGGGATTGAGTCGTCTCACGAGACTTCGACCCTGAGAGTGAGTGAGTATGACAGAACAAGAGAAGAGACAAGTAGGCATGCTCATTGCGAAGGCAATGCTGTCTGTCGCCGACTCACTGACCTCGCCAGACTCGTTGAATATCGGTGGCTGCTTTCTCGTCCCTCTGTCTAGCCCGCTGGCCCGCCTCCTGCAGTGAGGGCTGGCCGGGCGGCCGCTCGCCAGCTGCACCCTCGGATAGAAAACGGAGCCCTGAGATACACAAGACACGTTTTGACAGACGCATGGAACGATGCATTGTGTGCGGTGCCGGTGCTTCTCCTACCTCCAAGATCACTGAATGATTCCACAGTGGAGACTTGCCACGGCTCCGCGTCCCTCTCCTCCCGCGGGGGCGTCCTTCTCGCCTGCTCCGCTATCCTGTCCTCCATCGGCCGCACACCCTCAACCTCACGCTCACGGCCGTCAGCCTCCGTCTTGCCAGCAGTAGCAGGCCCCTGCTGCTCGGCGCCGCCGACCTCACTGCCACTCACGACGCCGTACCAGTTGTGATATTGGTCCATCATCTCGTCGGTGCGATTAGTGAGGCTCTGGAGCATGCCGGCGGCCTCACGGTGGCTTTTGGGCACGGTGAGGTCCATCCGGGGAGGCTTGAAGGGCTGGGGCACCTTGCGATCGGGCGGCTGCTCTCGATGGGGCTCCACGCTTCTTGGCTTCTTCTGCAGCTGCTTCGTTGGCCCCGCAACAGCGGGTTTTTGTCGAGCTTCTCTGCGGGCAGCGGGGGGTGGCGGAGGCGGTGTCAGCGGACGAGAGCGGAAGCCCCTCGGCGCCGTGGCCACTATGTCCATCTCGAACTGAGCGATGTCGCTCCTCAGATCCCCAAAGGGGCCAGCCTTCGGTCGTTCCGTCAGCTCCTCTGCGGCCTCCTTCGGTGGCACAGACTGAGACCGATCTGCCGTCGTCCCTCTCTGAGCAGGTCCTGAAGCCGCTCTGACCGTCTTGGTCGCCACAGGTGGCCTCGTGCGCTGAGTGGGGCGGGTAGCTGGAGCGACATCGACGCCTTCTCCCTCCGCAGGTGGCGGCAGCGACGTGCCCCGATCACTCTTGGGCTTTGGCGGCGGGGGAGGGTTGCGGTAGTAGGCGTCGAGCCGCCGGACGTTGTCGCGTCTGTGTTGGCCCTCCTCCCTCTCCCGCTGCTGGCGCGCCGCCTCGGCCATCTTGCGGATGCGCACGCGCTCCTGCGCCTTCTTGACCTGGTCATCGACGGGAGGCGCCTTTTCTGTCTCAGCGGGCCTGCCCACGGCCACAGCCACCGCCATGCCGGGGATGACAGGGCTCGCCAGTGGAGGAGACCGGGAAGTGGAGGGCTCACGACGGGATGTCAGATCGCGAGACGCCGCCGGCACCGATGGCGGACGGTGTGCGGCCATCGGGCGGCCTGCCTTGTGTGTGGGAGGACGTTGTGCTGGTCGGACAGTGGCACTTGAGGGACGGGCGGGCGCTGCTGATGCTGGTCGGCCTACTGCGGCCACTGGTGCCTCCCCGGCGGCCTGGTGCTGTCGGGTCTTCTTCGTCATTGCGATGCGCTGTCTGCGGGAATCGTCTTCTTGCTTCTTGCGCGTCTCCGTCTCGCGGAGCAGCCCCTGCGCCATCTCAGTCAGCTCCATAGGCACATGCCTGCGCAGGCACAAAAGACAGACAGACACACAGATGGATGTCTCGCCATGCTCACATGCGCATCGCATGCACCCCATCCTCAGTCATCTGACTGACACACCTGTCGGCCTGTTTTCCTTCGTCCGCAGCCGGGGCCCCGATGTCGGCCACAGTGCTCACCGGACGATCCGTGTCCAAATCCCCCACACCAACACCAACATTAACATCAGAAGCAGCAGCAGCAGCAGCCGCACCAGCACCACGAGCAGCGGGAGGGGGGGACACGGCGGCTGGTCTCGTGAACGCATTTGCCAGCTCCTTGAGCACTGCCGCTTGGAGCTGCTTGTTTTCATCTCGTGCGGAGGGCTGACGGGCGCTGGAGGGCCGGCGGTCGGTCTTGGGCCGCTCGGCAACGACCTTTGGTGGCTCCTTTGGGCTGACATGCGCACTGGCCCTGGTGGGACGGGGAGGGGATGGCTTTGGGGTGGTGGACGGGCGGAACGCCTGACGCATACATCACATCCAAACACACCCATGCCAGTACAGTAAGGGTGAGCGAATTGGTTGATGCGTTGGCGTACCTGAGCGATTTGTCGGTATGCGTTGGCAGGCGACGCACCCCCACTCTTGACAGCAACACCTACACCTGCCCGACCTGACCAAACAGCCGGCCGAAACCACCAACAGTAAGGCAGTGGTAGTTGTTGGCTGTGTCCTTCTTTGGTGGTCCATCCAGCCTCGCTCGCTCACCTATGGCTGGTTCCTCCTTGGTGCGCATCTCGGCACTTGTGTCGAGCCCCACGGGACCGCCCGCCCTTCTCGCCGACGACGACCGTGGCGCGGGAGGGCGGGGGCTGGGCCGGCGCGCCTCCTTGAAACCACGAGGGGCCAGCGGGGCCGCACTGTGCAGCCGGGCACCTGGTCTCGGCACAGCGGGAGGCCGCGTCTCGTGTGCTGCTGCTGCTGGTGCCTCCTTTGGAAGCTCCTGTGCCGTCTTGTCCTTGGGGGGCTCCCTCGATGGCTCCCTGCTCTTGGCCACAGGGCCAGGCTTCCTTGCCCCGGACCCCGATGATGATGCATTGCGCATCCGCTCCAGTGCGTCGAAGTCGCCTCCCATGGACCGGATGGCATCCGCGGCTCTAGTGATCGGCACTCGCTGTGGCGGCCCCTGATCCAGTAATCGTGCCTCCTTGCTCTCCTCAAGTGGTGCAGCAGGGGGAGCCGTTGGCTCCACCGCCGCAGCCTTCCCCACCCTGGCAGCTGTTGACGGGCCAGCTGGAGGCCTCGCACCCCTCATGGCCGCACGACCAGTGTGCGATTGTTGCTGCTGCTGTTGTTGGTCCGGTAGAGTTGGCTTCAAGCCCACTGGTGGCTTCCTCTCCTTGGGCAGGGGAGTCCTCTTCCGCACCCCAGCACGGTCGGCTTCACGGTCACTCGTCTCGCCCCTGGACTGCTGTTGCTGCTGCTGCTGCTGCTTGTCTGTCGATGCCGACCGGCGAGATGCCCCAGCCGCAGCTGGGGGGGCATGGGCTGACGAGGCGCGTTGCTGTGGCACTCCTGCACGCTTGCGGTCCTCAGGTCGAAACGAATCGGCATTCTGCGTCCCAGCAGCTGGGGGTGCGCCCGTAACGACAGCAGGTGGGGGCAATGGACGGTCGAGTGGCATTTGCCGCCGGGCTTGCGATGCCTCCTGCAGCGGGGGAGGGGGGCCGGGTGAATTCTTGCGCGACGGCAGCAGACTCTGGCCCTCCGGGCTGCCGAGGAATGAGTCCAGACTGGCCTGGTCGACACGAATGTCGCGGATGGTGCCCTCACCGGGCACATGAGCATCTACACGGACATCAAACCGCATGGCCGGCGGCGGCTGGAGAGTCGGGGAGCGCATGGCCGACTGAGGGGTGAGGATCGGCGATAGGGGGGTCTTGACCTCACTCACAGCCGCCGGGCGTGTGTCCTTGGCTGGTGCAGGGGGCGATGGTGGTGCGGGTGGGTGAGCGGCAGGGATGGCCGGCCGTGATGGCTGCTGCTGTGTCTGGGCGTGCGATGAGTTGTAGTCGAAACGAAAGGCTCTAGTAGGTACCCCTGAACACAAAGGAGCACACGGGAGTAGAAGGGTGGATGGGATGAGTGCAGTGCATGCGAGGCCAGCTGCACGTTGTCGTTTGGCTCACGTTCTCTGTCTATGGACCCCGTGTGAATGGACTGGCCAGGGACCTGCATGCAGTCAGACAACCCAAAACGCACCAGAGTGATACCCCTGTGGCCTCACTGCCTCCCCAGATGGCCTGCACACCTGCCTTCTCTTGCCGTGGCCGTTCCTTACCATTCCTCGGGCGCCACTGCTGTTGTAAGGCGTCAATCGCCTCGCTGCAGGTCCCAGCTCGACTTTGACCTCATCGGTCATGCGACGGACCTTCGTTGTGTTGTCTGACATCTTGTCCTCGTGCTATGCAACGCTCCCGAACCAAATCTACAGCGTCACGTCGATACTTTTCTTGCTATTCGTCTAAATGCATTAAATGAATGCCGCCAGGTCCTCGCTGTTGTCGCCAAAAGCAAAACAGGAGCACCATTTCCTTGCGAGCTTGGAGGGAAGGAAGGGCTGTCCCTCCGGAACGCTCCTGGCCAACGGATGTGGGCCACATGGGAGGCGTGCGATGCCATGACCATAGCGCTGATCGGCATTATTTGGTGAGAGCGGGGAGTGACTGAATGGGCCCAATGGAGGCGGGCAGTGAATCATCGGCGGTGGCGCAGCGCGAGGCAGAGCTCGTGCAGAAGCCTCACTACATCCTCCCGGCCTCAAAACAGTCAGCCGAGAACACAGTCACAGTGCAAGGTTGGCCGCTGAGGCGGCCAGCAGGAGGCGATGCGGGCGATGCGTTTCAACTTAGAGGTAAGCAGGAGCGACAGAAGGAAGGAGGGCAAGGGCGCTTTCTTTTGCAATGCAAATCATCCCTTTTCCCATTGTGTGAGTGGTTCTGTCTGCAGCGTCCACAGTCGACCCTCTTTCGCTGGATGTTCTCGGGGACGGCGTGCCAGTGACGGCCCTGGTCGGCAAAGGGGACAGGCTGGGCAAGTCCTGGGATGGATCCAGCAGCCAAACTACTGTGGGATTTGAGCATCTCATTCTCTCGCTTGACCCGGGCTACTCCTTCCTGCGCCTATCGGTCGGCGGGGTCGGTCCACGAACGTGCCTTATGCTGTGTTCGGGATGCCTGTGGCTGTCTGTGTTTGTGCAGGAGCGAGGTGAGTCATCGCGAGAGTGTCGTGTCAAGCATTGGGTGAAAAGTAGCAATGTGCTGAACGTCGTCAAGGGCACACAGGTGCGGTGCATACGCAACCGGCGGTGGACGATTGACTGACAGGCTAGATTGACCCACTCACTCTTCTTGCTCCCATGCTATGCTGTGGGGTGGGTGGCTGTGTCGTGTCAGGCTCTGTCATTGTGTCAAGAACATATGTTTGAGCACCTGTCAATGAACGAACACAACACGCTGGTCGTCATTCACGGTGGGCCAGGCCATACGCCACCATTCCTGGCTGCTTTGTTGCTTTATAATGTGGCTGTCTGTGTATGTCTGTGGGGTGGGTCCCCCAGGCAGCGAGCCACTGAGCGGCCCTCCGCCTGTCTGGAGTCTGTGGGTGATCGTGGCGCAGACCGCAAAGCAACTCGCACAGATTGCAACGGGTCAGTGAGTGAGATAGACAGACAGATGAGCTTGCTGAGGTGTGCTGTGCACAAATTATGGTTGCGTGTGGTGAACTTAGCCATCGAGTCCCTTCGGTTCTGTGCCCCCGCCCCAGCCGACGAAGAGGAGAGGGCCGCACTCACCATACAGGTCGGTCACAAACCAGCCAAGACATGACCTCCGAAGGCACACAAACAACGACGCCATCTCTCCCTCTCTGTGCATCAGACCAGGATACGCGCTGCAAGAGCTCTTCAACAGCGGCGCGCTGCACTCATCGACATATCCCTCGACGGCTTCCCAGAGAGCCTCACGCACTCGACGGGAGGGAACGAGGTGCACCGGCTGCGTCTCACCTTCGGCAGGGGCCAGCCGCCAGACCACCTGGATGTGCCATCGCCCAACCTCAGCCAAGCCGACATTGACAAGATCACTCAGGACGCCGTCGCCAAATACAACGTACAAAAACCGACAGATCCCGCGGCAAGATGCATCAATCGATCTCTCCCTTTGCGCAGCTTTCCGTGGTCGATGGATGCCGCATTGCAGCCCACCTGCGCGAAGCTGCTGCCGTGAGGTGCCTATGGCATGAGGTGCCGAGCATGGCCCCACTCGCCGATGCGATCTTTAACGAAAAGGACGATGACCAGACGACTGAGGCAGCGGCACAGTCGGTGTCTGTTGGCTCGCTGGAGAGTCTTAGAAGGGAGCTGGCATCGTGTGGCCGGCGGCACGAGCGGGACGCATGCCCGCTGACATCGATACTCGCCAGGTGAGCCAGCCAACCAACCACACACAGGACAGGATGTCATGTCAGCATATATATCACATCGACGTACCGGTTTGTGTCTGTGTCAAACGATCTCCTTCTTCATGCCAGTACGTTGCTGATGGGTGTGGACATAGAGCTGGCCCTCGCCTCATTGCAATCTAAGTTCCCCTGCGACTTACCACCCATCGGCGATGACGATGACGACCCAGACGAAACCCATCACACGGCCATCTCCCAACCAGCAGCCGGCCACGCGATGGGCACACACCTGGTGTCTGGCGCAGCGGGGGCGATTACCAGCTCAGCTTGGGTGTCTTCTGCCGTCGGCCGACCGCCCGAGGATGGGGCGACCCATGCGCTGCTCATTGCGGCGCCTTCGCCCGCCAAGCTGCAGGCCGGCACAGGGGCAATCGTGTCTGGCGACCGAGATGGTGACGGGGACGGAGAGTCGTCGGTGAGCGATGAAGACGACGGGGAGGAGGATGAGTGGGGCGAGGACATCTTCGATGACGATTACTATGATGATGATGATGATGATGATGACGATATGGAGAGCGACGAGGCGCATGAGATGCTGGAAGACATGCAGGACCCTTGTCGGGCGTGCGACCCGGGATGCGTGATTGTGTAGACAGATAGACCTGGGGTACTGGATGGATGGATGGTGGATGATTCTAGCTGTAGATGTGTTGATAGCTTGCTGGTAGCCATGGCCGTTGATAGTGTCTGGTTTGGTATCCGTATGTATGTATGGCAAGGTGCGGTGCACACCTCGCTGCTCTCTATTGCTGCATGACTATGGCTGTAATGATCGAATGAAGACACCTACCTTCGTGTGTTTATGTGCTCTCCACCGCTTTATCTTATCTAGTAATCGGTCAATAGTGAGTGCCTCCTTCTGTGTACACTGCACGCGACACCTCCAAATCGCAAACATCAGAAAATTATGAGGCGTCGGTCCGTCAGCTATGGCTAGTGTCTCATCTATACAAACGTCCCCCGCACCCCTGACACCTCCCCTCTCCCTTCCACATATCAGTCAGCTACATCCTGCTCCGTTTGATGCCGCTGAGCGACATGGTGGGTGAGCCCGCCTCCAGCCCCGCGCCCGCGTCCCTCTTGCGCTTCGGGCTGCCGTCGAAACCCTCGGCAAACAGCGCCTCTCTCGGCAACAGGGTGACCGTCACGAGGCCCATTTTGCCGGTGGTGGATGGGTGTGGTGGGTTGGCTCCTTTGCCCTGCAGAGTGGAGGCCGACCGCTTGAGGAGGCCCAGGAGGCCGCTGGGGCCCTGGCAGATGCCGTCGAAGGCCGCGTGCGCCCGGTAGTGGGGCAGCAGCGTCTGCAACTCCAGCTGAACCAAACCCGCTGCATTCGTACAAACAGGGACAGAGAGAGAGAGAGATGGATGAGATGAGACACACAGAGAGAGATGATGGATGGATGGATGTCTCCTCATTCATTTCGCACCGACCGAAGTATGACGTGTACGCCAAATGCCTGACTTTGGCCACCTCGGGCCCCTTGACAGCGCATGCCTCAGTGAGGATAGGCTCGAACTCGACGACGGTCTTGCCCTTGAAGGGGTCCGCCTTGGCCACCAAGGCCACCGCACACCCGTCTGCCAAACTCTGCAAGGCCTCGTCCTCTGGCATGTCGATGTGGATGTCGTCCTTGGACAACTCGAAACCCAGGTGGGTGAACTCGCGGTGGGCCCTGACGCGGGAGGTGATGGAGGCGTCTACGAGCACCGGGGCCCCGTAGGTCAAGAACTGGACAACATAGGGGAAGAGCGCCGGGTCAGCCTCGACGGACAGGGCCTGCGCGGCGTTGTCGGGCAGCGCCTAAGCGACACAACCGCCAATATGATGCATGCGAGAGCGCAGGTGTGGCTCTTGCGGTGGGATGTACTCACCTGGACCTGCTGCGCCAGTTTTGAGTTTGGGTACCGCAGGAGGGCCTCTCTTCTCACACGGAACTCGACACCGCATACACTTACACGCACATCTGACGCCGGGGCTGCCATCGGCCTCCTTATTCACGACTTCTCCAACCTTAATGGGGGAAAGACCCTAAGCTCTTGCGAGCTCAGCTGCTTCCACATCCGGATCATGGACACGGCCACGCTCGGCACGTTGGAACCAGGTGCACAGATGAGGCAAGAAGCAACCATTGGTAGTGATGACCGAGTGGAGGACGTCGAGGATCAGTTGTCAGACTCATCGGACGCCTCGAACGCATCCGTCGAGAGCTATTACAGCAACCCCGAGGCATATGCAACAGACGAGGTCTTTCACGACGAACCAATGGCATCGGTTGGCTTCGGCCACAGCAGCAGCTTCGTCAACGTGCCCAGCCTGCCCATATTGCCGCAGATGGTCGCTGCCAGTGCATCTGACGAGTCACGGGCAGGGTCTATCGAGAGTGTTGCGGCTGTTGCTGCTGCTGCAGTTGGCGGCCGACGGGATGGTTCCAAGAGTGAGGAGAGGGGGAAGGGAGGAGGTGTGGCCGGGCAGAGGCGGCGGGACAAGGCGCAGAGGAGGAGGCCGCCGCTGCCACCACGGGCTGAGCAAGCGGACCGGTCATCTCTAGCCGCCCGCAGTGAGGCTCAGGATGCAACGGCCAAAGAGGTGGTGCCGGTCGCCCCTCGACCAAGATCAGCTTACACCCCTTCTGTGTCGTCTTCATCAGCACCAGCACCAGCCCCCGTCTTCCAATTCACAGCCGCCGGCAGCAAAGCGACAGCAGAAAGCGATGCTGCTGGCGATGAGGGCCCGGCATTGGTCGTCACGCCATCGCCTTCCCTGCTGTCGGCCTCTCCACTGCACGTGAGTGACGGCGGCCTCCCTTCCCCCTTGGCGGCATCCTCGAACCACTCTGACACGACGGAACTGCACCACAGCCAGGAGGGGACGCCAGTGACGGCCCAGCGTGACCCAAGCTCAGCCCCGCCGTCCCCGCCTCCAGTGGTGGTGAGGGGACCACCCATGGAAGTCAAGGCTGTGTACTCGACCGACAGTGTGGCCACTGAGGTCCACGTAGCCACTGTGCAGCAGCCACCTGATGCACAGCCGCTAGACCACCTTCAGCAGCAGACGCAGGCGGGAGGGAGAGAGGAGCTTGGGAGGGAGGACGACGCCGCAGTGGTGGATCACGTGCATCCTCCTCCTCCTGTGCTGTTCCCATCGAACGGCAGCACGAGTGTGTCGGACACATCAGGGACCGCATCAGGCAGATCGCCCACGTCTGTCACGCCGCCAGTCTTCACTCTCCCTGCCGGTGAGCGATCCATCCACACCACACAGACACGTTGAGAGGACTGGAGGGAAGTTCTCATTGCTGCTGCAGATAAGAGCGGCAGCAAGAGGAAGCGTCCGCCGCCGATCATGAAGGGCCCCAAGACGGCCGACGACTCCGTCCACCCAATGCTCCCTCCCCTCTCCTCGTCCTCACTCGAAGTGCGCTCAGCGGCATCGTCGCCCACCCCTCAACGCCTCGGCCCCTCGTCTGCCTGGGACCCTCACCCCCCAGACGCACCACCCCACTCCACACCATCTGCGGCAATCCACCCAGACCTCGGCAGTGCGCGCGACCGGTCCGTCGATGTGTACGTGCGTCACGATGCCCCGCAGCCGCCATGGATGGCCATTCGTGAGTCCTCCCCTTGCTCACCCAACCGCAGCGGGCCCAGCCCCTCGTCAGACTTGGGTAGGCGGCTGCAAAGGCCGGTGGTGGAGCACGTGGACGGCGGAGGTCTCACAGCAGCGACACGTACAGCCCCGGACGACAGGCCGCCCTTCACCCCCTCCAACGCCTCTTCTCGCACCCCTCGGCGCGCGGACGATGGCTATGGCCACACGGCGCCCCTCACACCTCCCAGTCAAGCGGCTGGCGCGGCGGCCCACACCACCCCCTCCACCCCTTGGCGCACGGCAGTGCTGCCCGTGGCCACCACGTCTGACGTCTCGCCCTGCCGCAGCCTCAAGAGGCCTCGCGAGGAGATCTCGCGAGCGAGGGAGGCACGGCCGAGCACAGATGCGCGGCCACAAGGCGAGATGAAGCCTGATGCGATGCATGTGAGGCGGCATGTGGGCGTCACCGCCGCTGTGGCTGCGTGGCGGCTGCGGACGGTGTGGGAGTGGTGGCTGCTGCTCAAGTCGCTGGCGGTGTTCTTGGTGGATGAGATATGCAGCGGACAGGGGCCGCCGTGGAGCCCCGGGCGGGTGTTCCCGCAGTGGCTGACAATACATGTGCGGTCAGCAACGGATGGGGCGGGGGATGGTGGGGAGGGTGGTCATGTGGGTGCTGCCGCGGCCAAGGGCGAGGGCAGTGCGAGGCTGACAAGGCCGTCACTGAGCGAGCGCGTACCTCAGAACAACCTGCATCACCTGCAAGCTTTTGCGCTGAAGCTGGAGAAGCTCATGGGCGTGGGCTTCTTGGTCTGCCTGGACACACTCGTCTACGAACTCACCTTCATGCCCATACAGGTGCACACACTTTCACACACGCACATCACATGCATAGGAACCTAGCCTCGTTTCATGCCCCTGCTTCCTTTGTCTTTGGTCTGTTGTGTTTGTGTGTCCATCATCAAATCAGGCGTGCCGTGCCTTTGTCAAGATCCTGACTGCATGTTGGTCGCATGCGCTATCGTCAGTGGAGAGGCTGCTGGACAGCGACCTGGCCTTCCACGGCCGCAGGCACTCGCACGCTCACCCGACCACCAGTGGCGGTGGTGGTGGTGGTGGTGTGGGTGTGAGTGTGGTGGTGACGGCTCCCGAGGCGTGCGACCTGACTCGGTTTATCGCTTTGGTGCTGAGTGTGTTCATCTTCTCGTATGTGGACATCTCCCGGATATACCACTACATTCGGGTAGGTATGTCACGTCACACAAACAGACACACGCAGAGGTGTCCATTCATTCATCCATCCCAATCAATCAGGGTCAGTCGCTGGTCAAGCTGTATGTGCTGTTCAACATGCTCGAGATCTTCGAGCGCCTCATCCGCAGCCTCGGCAGGGACCTCATCGACTCACTCATGAAGCAAATCACACACCTCACCGAATGCATCCAGCAGCAACACCAGCACACCGAGACTGCCGCTGTCCCTCCCACACCAGCAATGAATGGCCTCAACAAACCACCGCCAGCCCCACCCGATGAGCAGCGAGCCGAGCCGGCAGTGGTGAATCAGCTGCCACTTGCGGGTGGGGCAAGGCGGCTGTCCCTGTCGACCACGCTAGGTGTGTGGTTGGCGGCCGTGTGTGAGCGGCGAGAGGTGCAGTGGGCCAGGAGGGGGCTGCGGGCGGCCGGGCAGCTGCCACTGATGCAGTTCACGGTTAGCTGACTATTGTGAGATAAAGACATCAGAATGAATGAATGAAGGCCGGAAGGTGTGTGTGTGTGTGTGTGTGGTTGGCGCGGAGCAGCTGGTGCTCTTATATGTGGTGCTGCACAGCCTGATGCACCTGATCCGTGTGCTGTCGCTCAACGTGGCCATCAACTCCTCCGAGTCAGCCATGTTCCTCATCGTCGTCACCAACAACTTCGCAGAAGTCAAATCAACCGTAGGGCAATGCCTGCCTGCCATACCGAAGACGCATCAATTAGCGATCCCCCCCTCTGTGTGTGTGTGTGTGTTCAGGTGTTCAAGAAGCAGACGGCTCTGTCTCTGTTTGTGATAGCAGCGTCCGACGTGGTGGAGCGGTTCCAGCTGTGCTGCGACGCCTTCCTGGTCTTCCTGCGGATGTCGACCTCCACACGCAGGCCGGAAGCCTCCTACGGGGACGCACTCAAATGGCTGGTCCGTGTCCGTCAGTCAGTCAGTCAATGAATGCGGGCTGCGCTGGGCGGCACACATGCAATACAGGCCAGGCACACACCACAGGCGGATGTGATCGGATGTGTGTTGTGTGTAGGTGATAGTGTTTGTGCTGGAGGTGATGGTCGACTGGGTCAAGCACGCCTTCCTCCTCAAGTTCAACCACATACCGGCTGAGGCCTTCGACCAGTACAGAGAGGCCGTCCTCGCTGACCTAGTGCTCTCACGCCAAAGGCCACCCGACACCGGTGGTACCACTACCACTACCACAACTGACCCCCCACAGCGGCACCAATATCACTACCAGCAGCAGCACCACCACCAGCAGCAGCAGGCGTCTCATCAGCTGGCCCACCGTGGCGCATCTATGGCTGACAAGGACGGCAAGGGCGGTGGTGGTGGTGGCGGTTTCTGTGTGCCGTGCCAGTCGGTCTACTCATACTCACACATCCCATCACGGTCAGCAGTGACAGACAGAGGGAGGGAGGGAGGGAGGGGTGAGGAACGATACGATTGGGAGTGTCTCTCTTGCGGTGTCTGTCATTTTGCTTACAGTCGTCTGGGTTTCATGGCTTTGCCGGTGAGCACCCTGATGATCTGGTGTGTGCCGAGAGTGCGGTGGAGCATACCCCTCGTGTGCCTTGGCGCCACGCTGCTCTTTGTGTGCCTCTTCCTCGTCAAGGTAAACAAGGTGTGTCACATCACACACCCACGTCACCTACACTACACCACCCACACAGGCTACATCGCCACGCCATCCGATGGATGGACCCACTTGTCCATATGGTGTGTATGGTGTCTCTATCGTTATGTGTGATGTACCGTACAGGTGTTGCTGAGCATCGGTTTGGTTGCGTTTGCGGCCCGTCGGCGGCAGTGGTGCCACCCTGAGGGCCTGGCCAACTACAGCGCTCTCTGAAGGAAGCAAGGGACAAGGGATGCATGGATGGGGGAGGGGCATGGAGGGGTGGAGGGAGGCTGACAAAGTAAGTGTTGGCTGCTGCTGCGGTGTGTCCACCGTGTGTCTTATCGTCGTAATGCTCCCTCTCTGCAGGTGTGTGTGGATGTATCTCTCTCTCTCTGTGTGTGTGTGTGTGTAGTTGTGAGGGAAGGACAATGACAATGACATTGACAATGCTCTGTGTGCATGTGTGTGCAAGTTGAGACCGCTATTATTCCCGTGTGTCAGTGTGCACACACATCCCATACTACATGAGCCACCCACCATATATGTCAATTTGCCAGTCTGTCAAGCACATTAGTTAGAAGTCGCATCGTACTCGTGCAGCCATGGGCTCATCCAGATCCATCCATCCATGTGTTCCACTCGCCAGCGCCACCCCACCGACCCTCGCCGACAAAGAGCTTCACAAAAAGACACACGGTGGGCGACTGACACGACAGGCCAACTCATCAGACCACACACGCACCCAACGACCACCAGGTCGGCCAGCCAGCCACAGACACACAGACGGACATGAAGATGCAAATCCACCACCGGCTACGTTTGGTCATTCGTCTCATCTTGGCGCCTCGCTTCGTATGACTGCAGCACCAGCAGCTGCAGCAGCTGCTTGTGAGGGGTGCTGTACACTTGGAGCCCCATCCTCCCGCCCGTTGGATGCACTGCTCCTCCGACGGCTACGTCGAAACGCGCGACCCAACGCCTACCGACACACAATGCAATGCACCCCATCTATCTCATCGCAATAATTGTAGAGGCGCTCACTGCTGGTGCCCCTCCCTCCTGCCTCTGCTCACCCTGAAGATTCTACCGATGTGCCGCCGCTGGTGGGGACTGAACACACAGACCACAGCCACCAATGGAACCCTTCCCTCCCTCCCTCCCCATGCACAGACCACCATCCCATCTCTCGAGTGCCGTGCCGTGCTGGGTGCTGTCGGTCCCTCCCTACCCTTGTGCATCTTTCGTCCTCCTCTCCGGTGCCGACTGGACGGAGAAGGCGTCCTGGCTGGCGGGGCTGTGGGTGCCTACATCCTCACTGGCCGAGTGGGCGGGGGAGTGCAGCCCCACCGGCACCTGCAGCCGGTTGGGGTTGAGGCCACCCGGCACAGGAATGGGAAGAGACGACGAGGGGGGAGGGGGCGGGGGGAGAAGGGGGGCCGCTGATGCCGACTGGTGATCGTCCTCTGGAGGCATCGATATGGCGATGGGCACTGGCACCGGTGGCTGTGGCTCCGCCACCTTGAGTGGTCCCGCGCTGGCTCGCGCGGCGTACGGGGCCGGGACGACGCTCTTGGTGGGCGGGGGTGGTGACTGTGCTTCGGATGCGGATGCCTGTGGTGTGGGCTGGGGGTGTTGGAGCATCTCTGAGAAGGAGCCCGCCACGAGCCGTGCGAGGATCTGGTAGAACTCCCAGTGGTCGCCCTTAGTGTGGTAGAATTCCACCAGATACGGCTGCTCGCGATCGGGATACTGCAGACAGACAGAGGGAGGCAACAGTGGCTGGCCGGATAAGTGGGGTCATGTGTGTGATTCATGTGTTGTTTGTGTGGTACCTACCTGGTATATTTCGAGTCTGAATTCTGTGCGGAGCGGTCTGATCCGCGATGGGATGGACACGTGCAGCTGAAAGGGGTTGGGGTCGCTCACACTCTATGTGAAGCAATACACCATCAACACACACACGCACACACACACACACACACACGAGGCGTGACATACCCGCTGGTGATCTGAATGTGCTTGTTTACCCACCCCCTTGAGCTCTCGCGTGAAGACCTCTCGCGCTTTCTGCAGACACATACGACAGACAACGCCCAAGTACACAGACAGAAGACACGCACCCCACACCTGGGCAGGCAGGCAGGCCTATCCTATCTCTGCTGTCAGTCACATCACATACCTCCACAATCTTCTGCGGCGACTCGCTCGTGGTGAATTGGGCTGCAAAGCAACACGCACGCACATCACACATGAGTGTCGCCGCTGTCTTCATCCCCTCAGTCAGCCCCACACTTATTTGTAGCTCACTGTGTCTCCTGAAGTGTTCGGGGTGGTGCTTCTCGTGTGTGGGCGGTGCAGCGGTGGCCTGCGCCCCTTTGGGCGACACCCGTGGCTTCAGAGACCTGTCCCGCCCAGGGATGCTGCCCCATCTCGGCCGTTGAGCGCCCTTGGGCGCATTCTTCGACGGAACGGGGTTCTGTGTGTCACAATGACGGGAACCAACACAAACATTGAGCAGAGTGTGCTGTGCTGTACTGCGCTGTGGTGTGGTGTGGTGTGGTGTGTTGTCTTGTCTTGTTGTTGGTATGGCTTACGTCGATGGCTCTCTGTATGGCGCTGGATGCGGCGCGGTTGATGAGCTCAAAGGCGGAGACGAACTGCTGGTCCGCCTGAAGAGATGGGGGCACCACACACAACGGACAAAGCGTCTCTGTCTGTGTGTTTCTGCGGACATGTGTGCCCGCGCGTGCGCGGCTACCTCGGTTTGGCCGGTGGGCGACTCCTCATAGTCCTCCCACACCTCATCTGCAGCATCACACACGCACACTCGGTGACACCATCCATCGGCTCCTGCCCCCTCCCTCCCTCTCTCCCTCCCTCCCTCCCTCCCTCCCCACAGACTTACGTTCTTCATTGGCGACGCTCCAAATGGAGACCTTCCTGCTGCTCAGTGCCCCCGTGGGCTGCCTCTCCGAGTGGAAGCTTCCACGGGGCTGGGGCTGCCTCTCCGCGTGGAAGACCAGTGGCTCCGTGCCGGCCATCGACTGGCTGCTCGGCGTGAGGCCGCCGTGGTGGCCCACAGACACAAAGGGCTCCGACGCGCGGGAACGATTGCCCGACCGCAGGACGGTGCTCTCGGCACGACTCTCGGCGAAGAGTCGGGCCAAACCTGATATATTGGGTGGATGGGATGGGCGGCATGGGAACGTATGTCTGTGTGTCGTGTCGATGAGTGAGTACCTTCCTTACCTTCGTGTGTGTCAGTGGGTAGGTCTTTGTTGAACCATTCGTGTTGGCAAATGGTCTCGATGGTGCCCCTCTTGCGCGGGTCCTGCACGAAGATCTGACCCAGCAAACTCTGAACCAAGCAAGGAAGGAATGGACGATGGACGAGCAAAACAGAGGGAGGGAGGCATGGAATGGCACACAAAATATATCCTCTGCGTGTGTGTGTGTGTGTGTGTGTGCCCTGCCGACCCGCAGCTGAGAGCTGAAGTGATCCGGGCACTTGTAGGACGCACTGCACCGACACCAAAGCGACCGAGAAGGAAGCATTAGCAGCTCAGCTTCTTCTCCACCGCATTGCATTTATTGTGTGTGCGTACGTGGAGATGTTTCTGAAGAGGTCAGCGACGGTGTCGGCGTCGAAGGGGAAGTTGCCGGCGACCAGCGTGAAGAGGATCACACCCGCCGCCCACACATCTGCCGGCCGACCGTCCCACGGCTTGCCACCAGACAACACCTGCCAGCACATACCAACCCATTCCCCTTGTGTTGTGTGTGTGTATATGTGTGTGCGTGTGTGCTGGCAGACCTCAGGGGCAAGGTAGTGGGGTGTGCCGCACGCAGT